CTCCAAGTTTTGAAGCAAGAGTGGGTGAAAATCCCACAATCTAAAGCTGCCTTCTATTTAGTCTATTAGTTCAAAATTAAGGATGACTGTGGTCAAAAGCAGCTTTCCATGAAAATTCTAAAAACAACAAACTCAATGATTTCCAATAAAGAATTAAACTAATATATTTTAATTCACTAGGAATATAGGCAAAAACTAAAGAATTTTGCTTTTCTCCTTAGGCAAGTTTATGAAGATCTGGTAACAAAAGGAACCATTGTTCCAAAGCCTGAAGTTCCTCCTCCAACTGTACCAATGGATTACAGTTGGGCAAGAGTAAGAATTTTTAATTTTTCAATAATGTTCATTAGGAAAATGTGATTAATTTATTTTGGTTATCCTGATATAATTTATTTTTTTGCTAAGACACTTAAGATTTTGTTTAATAGAGAAAAAGAATATGTTGTTATACTTATTCAGTTAGACTTGGTCTGGTCAGCTTTTGTCATCTTAGTTGTTACTCAGGTTTGAAATTAAGAATTTTTGCATAAAAATATAAAATGTATTTCTCAGAATGAGTGAAAACTTCAATATAACTTGTTTCATTATTTAAGGAACTTGGCTTAATTAGAAAACCAGCTTCTTTTATGACAAGTATTTGTGATGAACGAGGACAGGAACTTCTTTATGCTGGGATCCCCATCACTAAGGTCATAAAGGGAGAACTTGGAATAGGAGGTGTACTTAGTTTACTGTGGTTCCAACGACAGTTACCAAAATATGCTTGTAAGTTCTTAGAGATGGTGCTCATGATTACAGCTGATCATGGCCCTGCTGTTTCTGGAGCTCACAACACAATAGTATGTGCTAGGGCAGGAAAGGATCTTGTATCATCCCTTGTTTCTGGCTTGCTCACAATTGTAAGTTTTAAGCCTTTTTCAGATTGTATATTTTAAGAATTAATTAATAAAGTATTAACTGAAATGTTAGAATTTTTGCAATGAAAATTTAATATCAGCACAAAGTGAAATATTTTTACCTCTAGAGTATGGTTGTTATTTGCAAGAAGACATTGTTGTAGATACCTTGTTTTAGTAATTTCTTATTGAGAATCACTGGTAATACATGTTCAAAAACTATCAAGGCTATTTTTTAACATCAATTGAAATGTAATTCTGTAAGTATTGCTAAGCAAGACAGGCCAGAGTTGTCATCTGTATCTTGCAGCACTAAATCATAATTGAAACATATAAATTTACATTAGATTGAAAAGCAAATATTAACTAAGTGAGAAACCTCCTCAACTAAAGCTAAACCTGAAAAACATAATTAAACAGTATGATGAAGGAAGACCCACATAAGTGTATACATTTACTGTCCTTCTAGCTATATTTGTATTTACATATTTTAAGCTATATAAATTGCCTGCTTAGTTATTCCTTTTAAATATGAATCTCCAGTTTAAGCACAATATATTTTATAACCCTATAATTCCAGATTTATATGACCTAATCACAAAATCAGGCCTATCAGAATTGTTAGAGCTCCTGGCTTTTGAGATTATATCAACTAGAGATGGCAGTTATTGTTGGAATGTCTCCTGATCCCAGACATTAAACTTTTAAACTTCCTAAAGATACAAGAAAAATTAAATTTAGTAAATCATTTTTTAAGTATTAAAAAAGTAACTTTTAAAGTGAATGTTCAAATATAAGCATTAATATTTTGCAGAATTTAGCAAAATTTAGCTTTTTAGTGATTGGCAAAAAAAAAAAAAAAGTTTTTCTTTAGCTTCCTCACAGCTATTTGTTTTCCTAACATAACTTTAAAAGGCTTAAAAAAATTCTAAAAATTCTACTTTACTTGATTTAAGATTTTCATTAGAGGAAATAAGTTACAGATGTATTCTGTATAAAATATTGAAATGTTTCAAGTTCTAAAATTCAACACTTAATCCATTTACAATGTTTAATATCCTGCAGGAATTGTTAAAAACAAATGTTTGTGAGTCATTGATAACTTTCATTGAACAGGGAGATCGATTTGGTGGTGCATTGGATGGAGCAGCCAAGCAGTTCACTCAAGCATACGATAGTGGAATGATTCCTATGGAATTTGTGAACACTATGAGAAAAAAAGGAGAGTTAATCATGGGGATTGGCCACAGAGTAAAGTCGGTATGTGAAGAAATTTTAAATTTATAACATTTTGTACAATGAATCTTGCAGAGGAGAAAATTGATACTGGAAAAACACACTAACTTGTGACTTAATGACAGTTTGTGAAGATCAAAGAAAAATTATGTATATTAGAGCTATTAATTTGATAGTAATAAAGGTTTTTCATTTTAAATATTAGAAAGCTCATTAGTAGGAGAAGATAGTCAAAGTATAAATTTCAAAGTGGTTAAAGTTTATCAGTGTGATAGCAAATATGTATATATTTTTGTAATATTGGTTTTAAAAACTTTTATTAACTATTGTTTCCAGATTGCACCATTTAAATAAAAGATTATAGGAAATAAATGTGTAATCAGTCTTCCACACATTAAAATAAAATACTTCAGGGTTGAAACTTATTCAGTAAAGAAGTTCTATTTAATTTTGAACATAAAAAATACAGAAAATAAGTTTTTGATTTTGACTTGATTTCAATATCCTCTGAATGAAACCATTAGGGTTTGTTAGTTTTCAGAATTTTTTCTGAGCATAATACTGCACTCATACCCCCCATAGAAGAAAAATTTGATAGTTTTGAACAAAACAGTACTAATTTGACTTTATAACTTGAATACAAGTTTAGTTTTATTCGTTTTTTAGTTAATCACTGTTTCTCAGCCTTGGTTGTCCTAGTGTGATGTAATTGCTTATATTTCAACCTTGAAAAGTCATAGGCTAGTGATGTAAACACATGATAAAAGCTTTTTGTTTCCTATTCTTATCAACTGTATAAGCCAGTGTGGCTCCCAGTCCTGCAGAGATTTGTATAAAGAACAGAACATATGTTGCATATGGAGATAAGGAATAATTATATTTTGGTTACAAATTTTGAAGGGATGCGACAAGAGTTATCTGTTGTGAATTGGGCAGCTGAGTTATTTGGAGACACTGATCAGATGTGGAAAATTTTCAAAGATAAATTCTTTCAATATTCAATGTAAACATATTACTAATAGAAAGAAAAGGGTAGCTTCAGGTAAAAAACCAGGTTGGCTCACAAAGAGTTTAAGAAATAAAATTAAAGGAAAGCATCATAAATTTAAGAAATTTAAATTGACCGGTATGACAGGAGACTTAGGAGATTATAGAAGATCAAGAAAGTTGGGGAAGCAGGAAATTAGGACATCAAAAAGGATGTCTGAGAAAAAGTTACCTGAAAATGTAAAAATTAACAGTAAAGATTTCTTTAAATACATTAACTCTTTCATATGAAACAAAATATTTTTTTAGGTTTTATATATATACATTTGAATAAATAAAAAAATAAATCATAAATTACTACTTAGAATAAACGAATGTAGTTATATTTGAAGCCATTCTAGAAATTAAAAAAAAGAGTAATTTAGATTTTTTTTGGTGGTGGTGGTTACAAGGCCAGTCAAACTGAGCAACATTGTATAGAGTTAGGGTAGAGAAAATAACAGATAAAATATAAAGTTTTACTGAAAACCAACATTGGAAATGTACAGTATTTAGGAGGTTTTAGAGATTATACAAATTAAATTTGAGATGAAAAAAAGTATTTTCAATCTTAACATGAAAATTACTTTGTACATGGACTATTCCAAACAAATACTTGATATATTCACGGACAAATCTTTTTTTTAGTTTATTAAAAATATTTCACCAAAAATATGTTGTTTTTCTTATGTATGTTAAAGATTTGTAATGTTTACTGAAAGACTGCCAAATTTCATACACACTCCCCCTCTGGGGTGGTGCTGATATTGATGGGAG